TTAGGTTATTTACAAAGGATTTTTCCTGTGCTACCTACCACTGCTGTGCGATTTTCCCTCAAACAATGGCCATTATCTGAAATAACAGTTCAATGTCATAGATAACAAGCCACCGAAACGAATTAGTCACCAACTCTTGTCATTTTCTCTCCCTCACATTCTTCCCCTTTGTTACTATTTTTGTTTTTCAATCAGCATTTTATTCGTTTACTTGGACGGGGAGAAAACAAAAAGTGGGGGCACTCGTGGGTCCCCACTGCAGATAAAGTTTAGCGCGCGCACTCCCTGGCCCCTCTGGCTCTCTCCACCTCCCATCAGCCAAATGCCCCCAGACTTGCTTGACTGTGCATTGTTGAGCTGCAAAGAAGTTGGATTTTGTCCATTTGCTTTTATGAATGGAGTTTTCTGATAAAAAGATTTATATCCATTTAACTGGTGGGTTTAACTAAGTTCTTCCAAGGTTGTCCATTATTTGGTCATTTATTCCCCGTAGTCTTCCTTCCAGTGTCGTCTCGGCATTGTGTTGATTATAAATTGACCAAATATGTGTTGCGAACTTTTTAAACATAGTATAATACTGATCGCTACAAGCAGCGTTTATGATGTTAAAAGTTTTAAAACAATCTCAGCTGTCAAAATGCTTAATTCCACTTTTGGGCGTTCTTGGTGTTTTAATGAATGTATCAAAGAAAGTGGTAAAAACTCACCAGACAGTTGTCAGTCTCCTTAAATCCCTAATCCCCTATTTGGGAGGACTGTATGCAAATAATGTTTCAGATTTTAAATTGTGTTCTAAGAAAAATATGGTTTGATAATTTGCCACACCTTTCTGCTGACTTAACTCTAAGAATGGAGGGCATACATTGGAGTACAAATTTCAATTAAAATTTATTTTAAAAGATGCTTAGCAGAAAACTGGAAATGTATGTCAACCTTCACTTTTGGAGGCTGCTGTTTTCAGAGAATTTGTGAGCACATTTCGCCTTTACCCTAAGCCTCATCCTCGCCCCCTCCAACGCCCTCCCCTCCCCCCGCCCCCCAAGTCCCTAGTCAGCCTTGGTGCCCACACCTTCACCCCCCCACTTTCCAACCTACCCCATCTCTTCCGTTCCATCCCCCAGCCATCTCTCTCTCTCTCTCTCTCTCTCTCTCTCTCTCTCTCTCTCTCTCTCACACACACACACACACACACACACACACACACACACACACACACACAAACACGCGCGCGCGCGCTTGCTTACTTGTGCTTTCAGGACCTGGAAACACAGGCTATTTCCCTGGGGAAAGAAATCCTGCCTGGCGAAACCTCCCCATTGGTTGTTTATCCGGAGAAATCTACATGTTTAAGGGGGATGGTGCATCCGTAATCAGTCTGTCCCTATAGGACTAGGGTCTTGGCGACCTTTTTGTGACCTCTCCCGCCTGAGGAGGCTGCTGTCACTTTAAAAATTTACTGAGAGAGTAGAGATAGCTGCCTTTCTCCCGCGCCCCGGGTTCTTTCTGGATGGCCGAGCAGATCTTCTTTAAAGAGACAGTTCATGAAATAGAAACCCGGCCGACAGCTGAGCTTGGAGTTGCCAAAAGGGACTACCCTGTGAGGGTCTAGGACCGGGGAAGGCGCAGCTCAGGATCAGAAGGGGGCTAGGGCTCCCTGCGCCTCCCGGGCCCCCCACCTTCGCCAACTCCCCTCCTCCTGCGCGTCTCCCCCTTGGAACTGAGAGAAGTGGAAGAAGTTTTAGTGGGTTTCAGATAACTTTCATTACACATCGGGCTGATAAGAGTAAGAGAAAGTGAGAAAAGAGGGAGGTTATGTGAACCAGAAGGAATAGCTCCGAGCTAGCTCATTTAGGAAGGGGGGGGGGAGGGAGGCCAAAACACACCAAACCCGGGTCACTCAGAGGAGAGAAGACTTCATTTCTGGTCTTAAAATACACTGTTGGCGGACAATAAATCTGAAACGCGTGGTCCCGGCGAGCAGAGCCTAGAGACGGACAAAGTTATCAGAGACCCATTTGGAAATCGAGACGCGAGACTTTTTTTTTTTTTTTTTGTAATATCTCCAAATGTTGCTGGGGATCGTTTGAAAGGATTTTCGTTCAGGAGTGCTGGGGGCTGCTGATCATTATTTTATTTTAATTCTTCTGTGATTGCTTTTTATTGCTGAGTTGAGGCCATAGAAATCCTAAGGTAAGCGAACTCACTTAAAAAAAAAAAAAAGTGTTGGCGATGCGCACGTTTGTCATTGGGGCCCGCCGGGCACCGCGCTCCTGTCCCTGCTGCGCTCGCGCCCAGCGCTCGCTGCGTCCCGCGATTTCCTTGTTCCTCCTGCGCAACCCTGCGGTGCGGACGCGTCTGGGGCAGGTCGCCAGCCTTCGGTGGGTCGCTCTGTCGCTGACTGCCTCTTCTCCTAGCTCTCCTTTCCTCCTTCCCCTCCCTCCGTGGGTCTGCCGGTCGGTATCGGGGACACAGAAGGTGGGGTTGCCAAAATCTGAATTCCTGGCACCGGCCACGCGACTTTGGAGCGGCTTTCGGCCGAGTTCCACCTTGCCAGGGAACAGCTTGGCTGTCCAACATCGTGTGCTGCTTAGCGAGAAAGTCACATTCGGACCCTTTGGCTACATTGTGGGGATTTTTTTTCCCCCCTCTTCCTTTTGCTGTAGTTTTTTTTTTTTTTTTTGAAAGGGCCTTTCTCTAAAAGTCCACCTAAAGTGGTTTTTTTTTAAGCTATTTTTGGAGTTTGACAGCTTTTACAAACACAGGAGTGTATTTAGGTGAAATGACAGAAGATGTGGTGTTACTCTTTTTTATTCGAGATTTCCGAGACGATTAAGACATTTGGGAGACGAATGCAGATTTGCTAACAAATCAAAAGTGAATAATTCACCCAGGGGGGGTGGGGGAACTGTTCTGGAGAAAGTTGAGCTTTTTGTCTTGGGGCAAGAATATTGAGAGTAAGAAAGTTAATATGTTGATGAAATCTTTGAATAACATGTAACAGATTATGAAAGAGACATTCTTTGGAAATGAATCTTTTACAAAATTAGCTTCGCTGTTGACAGTGGCAGTGGCAATAATGTTAACACTGAATAAAATTACACCTAGAATTTTATGTGCAGTATAGTAAATACTTAACTCCCTGCCCTTGCAAAAGGAAATGTTTGAAAGCTAAGAGGATAGATGCTTCTAAACTTTGAAATGAACAACTTTTCCACGTCTTTCTGCAAATACGAAATAGAACTGGTGTTGCACTTCACAGACTTCACTCTATTTCCTTTATTAAATATTTCTCTGGTGTGTCAGTAGACCTGCCACTAGTCAAGAAAACAAACAAACAAAAGACCGATCAGAAACAAAACAAACAACAAATGAGTTGAATACAGCTGTCTAGGGCCGCCCCAATTTTTTACTGTTTTTAAAATGTGCATTGCATTTTTATTTGTGCGCTTTCTCAACATCTGGGAAAGGGAGAAATCTCAAATTGCCATTTTAATTATTCAGTCTTGAGAGTTGAAGACATATCTTTAAGTTTGTAATTTTATAAATAGCAAGTTGTTAAATTCATCCTTCTGGCTAGAAAGAACATTTAAGTGTTTAAATGGCATTTTGTCCTTGTTAGTGTGAAGAGGTATTCTTGAAAAAAGAAGACTTTGATTTGTTGTGTGTATGTGTGTGTGTAGCAATTACTATCTCTGTCTTCTGTTTCTATTTTTCTTTTAAAAATTCTGACACTACTTATTGCCCTTCAATTGCCCCATGGCCAAGGCCTATTCATAGTGCCTCTTGACTAGCACTGGGTTCTTCTTGAAGTTTATGGTGAGTTAATGACTTGAATCTGCAATTGAGTGTCTTCCTGAGTTCTATGCAAAATTGCTTTTGGTCCTATACTCAGGAGTTTAGTGTGAACTTTTATGTAGGTAGAGGAGACACAAGAGTTCTGGAGGGGTCGTTTAATTCATTAATTTTTGTTCTAGATTATGTCATTTAGTCTTTGATAGGGAACTTCCTCAAGTTGGCATTACTGATTGACAGAACATTACCAGCCTCTCCCAGGCTCTCCTTATGTTATGCACCATCAGGTCAACAACTCTGCAGCTTCTAATACTGATGTTTAAGAAGTTACTGCTGTTAGTGAATTAGAGTAGCTTGTTTTGAGTATGTAAAACCTTAATAACAGAGGTTTTCCATATGTCCTAAGTAATATTAATATTTGGTACAGGACGAATGCAAAGTCTCATGAAAAATAGCAATATACAACCAGATACATAAGCCATATTCTTGCATATTTTGTACTTGTTCACAAGCCAGTTTTTGTCATTTTGCATGCTGGACATACATTAAAACATTCATTGACATGTGCTAACTAAGACCTTAGGTTGGCATACTTTGCATGAGTATTTACCTATTGCTTGTTTTCATTCATTTCTTTTTTTTTTTTAGTCTGGTCAGACACATCTATGAGACAAATATTAATATCTCCTTCAACTAAGAGTGTGATTTAATTGCTTCATGGTGATGAAATACTAACTAGAAGAAGGAATTTAATAATATTTATAGTTTTTAATTGAATTAAAATGTGAAAATACACACCTCCATGAAAAGACTCTTTAAAGCTAAAATATTGACTGTTTAGTTATCCAAACCCAAGTATTGAACGTTTAGTTTAGAAATATTATGTTAATATGTGCTGTTCAATATTATTTTTGTAAAAATGCATTGGGTAAAATAAAGTCTGTAGTATTTATTCTTGCGTAGTAAGGAAACAAGCATGTTTTGGAATCAGTGTTTGTAATAAGTAACAATTGTTTTATTTAAAAAACTCACACTATCATTTCCAACATAACTTATTGCTATTCCTCCTTTTTAAATATGCATGCTGTCTGACTTTCTCTTAAGGATTAAGAGAAAGAATACATTTAAATGAAATATTTTCAAGCAACTAATCACCTTCATGAATGGACCTATATGGCGATTGATTGTTCTCATCTTCTTCCTTCCAGATCTTGGATGAGTTTTGCAATGTGAAGTTCTGCATAGATGCCAGTCAACCAGATGTAGGAAGCTGGCTCAAGTACATCAGGTTCGCTGGCTGTTATGATCAGCACAACCTCGTTGCATGCCAGATAAATGATCAGGTATGTTGTAAAGATTTTCTTGTCTTTCTTCGAGAATACTAAAGTATCAGTGAAGCCTGAAGAATAAAAATAATAGAACTACAGTAGGACCCTTATGGCCTGTTTGTTGACATGGTAAAAGGTAATGCACAAATATAAGATGAAGAATGAAATCATTTTTAGTACTATTTCTTTCAGTGCTACTTTCTTTGGATAGTTATCCTACTATCCTCATAAATGCTCATTTTCTTAGTGTAACCGAATAACTTAAAAATCAAGTATGTATTTTTTGTCTAGTGTTTACATTTTTTATTTACCATTATAGTAGTTACATTCATAGAAATATTGAGTTAATCAAGAACACTGTGTTTTATGCAGAAATTAGAGGTGATATATTTGAAATGTTATATAATTTTATTTGAAATAGTAGGTAGATAGATACATATCATATCCATGCATACTTATCTGATTATGCATTTTGTATTGATTTAGCTAATTACAAATGAGAATTTTTATTTTTAAAATAATCAAAATATTCTTTTTTGTAGCTGTAAAAAGTTTAAAAATATCATTGCTGGAAATTGCTTTGTGACATTATGGAGGGTCATGTAGTAAGCTTGACTTTAATAACAGTAACTATGAAATAAAGATCATGACAATATCATGAAACATATTTTTCACTTAATAAAATTAGATTATGAATCTTATAGCTCAGTGTGATAATACATAAACTAACTAGAAGTTCAGTTTGTTAATTTTTGTTTTATAAACATCACTGGGTTAGGATTTAATTATGTTATAATAATTTATTTCTTTTAATCTGGTGGTTACTTAAATTAAATATGTTTCCAATACCATATTGAAATGGTAGCTTGGCAAATCTACTATGAAATCACTACCAAGAAAAAGAAAAGTTTAAATTAGATGTTTCCAATTGAAAGCTGTTAAATAAAACTAGCATCATATGGTCTAAGACTCTTTCAATCATCGTTAGGAGATTATTCTTTGGCATTTTACCAGCTGCCAGATAATTTTACTGGCCAAAGTATATTAGAGGTAGTAAATTGTAAAATTAGGTTTAAATGGGAGTCATTTTTAAATCTTCAACATATATCAAAAATAATAAGCCAATCAGTTTCCCCCTTGCTATAAGAAAACAAGAGGCATTATTGACAAAGGAAAACATATTAAATTAGCTATTGATTGTGAGCAGAAAATATCCCAAGACTGTCATCTGAGTTACTGTCACCACCAGCAACAGACATTTCTTGAGGGTCCACTCCTTGTAGGTATGGTAAATAGATAGCTGTTGTAAGTGAGTAAATTGCTCATGTTATATTTTCTAAAGAAAGAACAGAAGAATCTTGAAAGACACCTTTAAGATGAAATAATATAGTTATATCATAATAATTATTTGTTATTCATATTCACTGACAATAGGAGCACTTCCTTAGTAGTATAAAACTGCAGTAGAATCAGGGAAAAGATGATTTAAGAATGGGACTAGTAACCAAGGCCAGCCCTCTGACAGCCATTTTTTTAATGTAACGTTTATGTGTCTAATGTCTTTTAATAAATATTTTCCCCATTGCATTAAAATGGGGAACTATTTTGCCATTCCTGTGAATTTGGTTGTTCATTAGAGTAGGCATTTTTAATTGTACCATAATCACCTTAAAAGTATGCTTTGTGAAAGACATTGTTTTCAAAAGACATTGTGCTCATTTCATAGCTTAATGAATAGCATGTTTACTAATTTTAACTGAAAAGCCAGGGAAAATAGTTAATCAGGAAAGACATAAAAGGTCAATATTAGATACTCACTTATTTCTTTAAGTTCTCATTTTAAACTGGCATTATGTTGACAGAAATAAGATGGTAACATAGTGTATATTAAATAATATAATTGTGAAATTGATATTCCATGGTCAAGTATGTTCAACCATAAACAAGAGAGGAAAGCCAGAGGTAAACGTCAGACTATGTGATAGGTAGGTACGAATGCAATCTTGTCACTTAGCCCAGTGACAAGACAAAGGAGAACAGACACCCAAATAGTGTCTGTATGTATTATAAGCATATTCATTTATAAGCTCATATGCATTTTCTTAAAAACCAAGTAAGACTAGCAATTTTATACAGCTTTGAAATGTGAATGTTGGACTAGGTACAATGATAAAAAAGCTGACCAAAGAGATTCTTTAGGTCTGTATTTTTGCTCTGTTCCATGCAGAATAGAAGCTGCCAAATGGTGAATAAGTGCAACTCATCACATAATAAACATTCCTGTTGTGTGAGATATTATTTAATATCCAGATATTGAGAGAGACCCTGGATCAGGATAATTATTAAACACTAATGATATCAATTCACTTGTACAACACAGAAGCAAATGTAGCATTCTACAAGAAATTGTAAAAAAAAAAGTTCCTTTTTGATTATTAGAAGGATTTCAAGTCTACAAAAACAATGTTAATAAAATGACAGGTGTAAGTCCTGGACTCTAAAAAGGAAGAATTTCAGATGAATCATTCAACTGTAATCTAGTCATGGCATGACTGGGTCATCTAACGAAGAAGGAAAAGAGATTCCTCAGGCCAAAACAACACTATAAAAACTAATCATAGCTTATTTTTGTGAAGACACATGTTTTTAAAAATTCTATTGTGGAAGATCAAATTTAATGAATTTGTGTCAATTTTATAATGGTATGGAGGATGTGGAGGAGATCTATAACAGAAAATAAATATGTGTGCTAAAATGATGAAACAGTAATTAGTGAGACTGTCAAAACATATATGCTGGATAAAACCCACATTTGAATTGTTCGAGGGTGAGGCAGTTCTTTAGAAACAGTGTGAATTTTGGTTTTTAAGTAAAGTTGATAAAGGATGTAATCTGTTTTATATCATAAAAATAAAAACAAAGGCCATTCAATTAACATTTTTCCTAGTACCTTTCTACAAGTGTTTTATTTGAGGTGATTTTCCTTGGTTTAAACTTTCCAATAGATTTTTGTGAGTTATTTTACTTGAGATTTTTTTTAGACTGGAATGAACTTTCTGGAAGCTTTCTTTCTTGACAGTGCTGCCTAGAAAGACTCGAGTTTTATGATTTTAGATGTCTCTTTTGTTTCACATTTTCAGAATTATTGTGGTGAGGTTTTTGGAGATAGAAAATTTGAAAACACTAGCTTTGCTGCTGAACCATAATTTTTAAGTAGCTATAGCTTCTGACTGATATTCTTATCCTCCACCCTGAAAATGCTGTATTAACTACAGTAATTTATCTTTATAAAAGAAGGCCACACCAAAGACACTAGTAAATTGAGACCACAGTTACACTCAAGTCATACCATCAAAAATACCCAAGGCTCTTGATATTTAATGTCCTAATTATTTTTTCACTTATTACTTAAAGTTTCTGTACAATGCTACATAGCCCTACTGCTGTGGCATAGCGTTTAGCTGGAAATTTTTACCGAGACACTCGATGCTTAAGTACTTTTACATTTTACCAATCTGAAATTGTCCTTGGTTGCTTTCAAGAGCAAAAATTGGCACTGAATAGTAGAGCAGGGCAGGGAAGGAGCAAAAGCTGAGAGTTGAATAGGACATCTCTTCCAGACTAGGTCCTCAAGGGACCAAATACACAGAGGGCTCATGAAAACAGTGTATCAGTTATTGAGCAGAGATTTCATTTACATCTGGAAGCACCCATGTATTTAAAGTCAAATAGTCCAAACATCTAATTGATTTATTGGGGTTTTAAAAAATCTGGATATTTTGATATCCTGCCTGTTGAAGTCTTACTTTGACAAGTAGCAAATGATGTTAGGTTTGGTCTACCATGCTCTCACCAGTATCCCCATCCTTTGATTACCCCTTATTAACCCTCCATTTCTATATCCTTCACCTAGATCAAAGGCAAGGCTACCTGTAGACTACCTATTGTCTTCAAACAATGCCAGTTTTTATCTTTGGATATATTCACAGTTTTATGTACTGATGGACTAGCTATCTGTACACAGCAGTTTTGCTCTGAAGCTTCTTTACAGCAAAACCATATTGAGTCGGGAAGTCATTAAGGCACTATTCATGTAAGTTTGACTTTTTAGGTTTAAACATCACCTTTCCACTCATGATAATTAGTACGATCTGGGTGTATGCTTCAGGGTAAAGTTTATGTATGTATATGCATATGTATATGCATATGTATATGTATATGTACATGTACTCTTCCTCATAGGAAAGAACACAATTTCATTCAAACTCCTGGCTTGCCCTAACATGGTCTTCAAGTGAAATAAAGTTCTCAGAAACGCAAGGCATTATTAATCTTGTCATTTACACAAGGTGATAAGTCCTTTCATTTTTAAACAGACCCTTGGCAGCTGGTATTTAGTAAGTAGACTAAGAAAGTGTGCTGTTCACTTTGAATAAAAAAGAAATGTGTTGATAAGAGATTATCTAATGCCTGATGCAGAGTTTGAAGAAATGAGATATGGAAGAATGACTGCCCCTTAGAGAATACAAAGTCAGAATTCACTTAGGGGACCATGCCAGCTCCCTGGTGGCTAATGAATGGCAGCAAGACCCTGCAGTGTTTTCAGCTGGAACAGTATTGTTCTCATTTGTGCTTTACCTTATAAACTTTTAACTGCTTCCAGGACAATCATGGCTGATTCAGCACACCCGCTTTCCCTCTCCTTAAATCCACGTGAGCGATTTTGTCAGACTTAGTGACACTACTTGAACAGTGTTCTTTATGCAAGCTTATTATGGGCTCAATTATTAACTTATTTTCTGTGGCTTTTTACTGAGGAAAAAATCCACTTTCCTGTATCATTCAATTAATACAATTTGGGTGCAACCCCCCAAAAAAACAGGCACGTCAACTATGTGTAAACCAAAAATGTAATTTGTTAGCCTCTTCCTACTTTTTAAAAATGTTTGCTTCGACTGTCAGGTAATTTGTTAATTTTCTCTTCCTTTACAAGGATTTCTGTCTGCATTTTGTAT